TTTTTCAAGGCAAAAAAGTGTGGCATAGCTGTGCTTGTTATTTCAATAACACAAGATCCGTACACTAACTGTTCGGGCGATCTTGGTCTTTTTGATATACTGCAACTATGCTTCTCCTTTTTTGAAAATCTAAGTACAAAATAATATGTTTCTGGGCAGCTAAGCTGCAAAACAACCTGCCAGCAATGTAATTTGCGTAAAAGGTTGGCGCAGAAAAAGGCATATACGATACAACGATCGCAAAAATGCACAGTAGTCGACTGTAGAAATTCATAAACATAAAGACATAAAACTGTGACCAAATGTAAATTTCTCTGAAATTTAATTCACTTTGCAGCATTTGCAAATGTCCCGCATGGGCTGTGAACCCACAGACAAACAAAAGAAACTGTGATTATTTACTTAACTACTTTTTCAATATTAGCATTTAAAATTAGACTGCTTCCAACCTCCACCTTTGCTACACATTTAGATTCGGAGCAGCATTCATTCTTGCCCCTCTTCCCTGGACGTTTTATATTTTTTACGATGGTTTCTTCTTTGCCGGCTTTTTGCGAGTTTTTGTGACGCGAGGAGACTATCGCGATCACACATCTTTGCGAAAAGCTGCTGCGGAAGCCTCATGAATGAATGTGATAAAGCACATAAATATTCTTTCTATTTTACCAATTTGCGATGAGTTCTCATTTTTTAAAGAATGCGTTAGAGATGATTGGTTTCAGACGAGAGTGGGAACAATGGTGCCATGAGTCAAACCCATCATCAACTTATTTTTACGCTGTGTTCGAAAGAAAGAAGCAACATTTTTTGGCAATCTTTCGAACAGCACAACAAATGTGGTTACTGATGCTGGGCACCAGTATCCAATCAGCATGTTCGGTCCAACTCGCCCCAGGCCACAACGAGGTACTGGACGCCTTAAAATTTTCCTCTTAACAGAATGAATAAAAAAAAAGTCCAACCTTATGGTATATCCGGATTCACTGTACAGCACTACTATCCGTATAATATTGTGCACTATATGGTTTATGAACAGCAGCACAAAGTATGCTAATGCATTTAATGCAAAGGTTCTGAAGATGCTTGTAGGGACTGCAACTAAACTCAGATAAATGAGTAGGGTGAGAACAATAGTTTCAAAGATAACACCCAAATAACTTGATAGATAGTTGAGAGAATATAGATCACCTGCAAAATTTTATGATTTTATAAGTTATTACCGTCATAGACTTAATCTTATCAAATGGATCACAGTAGGCGAATGATCCACGTCTTTTTATGCGTTTTGTGCTGCGTAACAGCAGCTCAAACGCTAGCTGTAACGACCCTGCCTCTGTTTGTGTGCGTGTATGTATGTATGTGTGTATGTATGTATGTATGTATGTGTGCACGTATGTCTGAACGTATTTTGTTCCTCGCTTTCAACTCGGAAACCAAAAAAGCTAGGAGGCTGAAATTTTCGCGGGAATGTTCCCACCTAAGTGCAATCCCCAGTTAGTAACTTTTCTGCCAAAACTTTCATGTGGCTTATACGAGACTTCGACATGCATGGATGAATTTGAGTTTATGAAGCTACGCATAGGTGGAGGACATTCTCCCGAGTCTTGTTGATTATTTTCATGGCAGAAAAGAATTAGAAGCATTTATGACGAAAAAAAATTTGAAAAGCAACCTCTGGTTTCTAATTTCTTAAAGAAATTCAAAAAGTCGAAAGTTATTTTACTAATTCTGTGTGTTAAATCGAATTTTCCAGGTTTTGTTATTTGCCTTATTTCAGTGACCCAGCTTATGCACACTAAAAATGACAATTTTTTTTAGAGCTTACTAAGATGGAGTTTTTATTTTTAGAGCTTTATTAACGAGTTGCAACCGTGTTTGGCTGTATTGGAAAACACTGAATAATCGATATTTCGGATGCAAAAAATGTGTGACTCGCGTCCTTTAAAAATAAATGCATATCCAAAGAAACCTTAAAAAGTATGTGCTATCTTTGTAGAATAGTTGAACTGAAAAGAACTTACTACATCGGATGCCCAAATTAGCGCAAGGTGGTACAGCCAGCATGAAAATTATATCGTTAGCATATCCTCTAACAAAAATACTGTAAATCCAGTACTGGCCTTATCTGGATTTGGCATCCTGTCTAAAATGTGCATTGAAAAGTTCCATAACAAAATACAAGCAGCACTCAAAATGAAGAGTCACTACATGTCACATGAACGCGCAACCGCGTATTTAGATTAGTTAAGACCAAATGTTAACCACCTCACGTGCAAAAACGTAATGGCCAATACACAGGCGGGCACCAAACTTGCTGTAATCAGACATGCTAGAAAGCAAAAACTTCGCGTTCCCTACAGCGAAATATCGCCGGCCCAGTAGATGAATCAGCTCGGGGAAACTGCTATCGGTATTGCACTGTGCGATGTCGCGAAATTTTAGCTTTCTAGCATGTCTGATCATCGTGAAAGGAGAACGTGGGCAGTTTTACAAATCGTATTTTGGCATTTTCGCATATTGAATCTCTGTATGGCTGCAAGCTTATGTGCTTGTATGCCTGCGAATGAAAGCCTGGGTAAAAGTACAAGGAAAGCAACGCTGCGCGATCCCGTGCGGCTAGAAGCGCCTGGCGAAGACTTGCAGGTAATGACTGGATTCGCGGAGAGCTGAGCTTGAATAGCTCCATCAAACTGCCGACAACACGCACACCTCGTCTACTTTAACCAACTGCAGCCATACAGAGGTTCCATAACCAATTGCGAAAATGAAAAAAGTGAGTTTTTGAATGACGCGCTATTTAAGTACACCTACAAAATTTGTGCCGTTATGGGGGAATTTAATTCCCTTGGGGATAAAGTTAGATTCTTTCATACTCATTACGCTCATTAGCAGGAAAAAACGTGTTCATGTAAAATAAAAATGAAAATTGAATCTGCTGTCCGGAGAACACTTCCTGATTAATACTGTTGAGATTTTTGTAGGGATAACATTAAGCATTTTCATGTGTTTTACTTCAGAGAGAAACTGCGTCTCTAGCTAGTGCTAACAAATAACAGTTATTCACAGTTACAGCGACTTACGGTTGCACACTAAAAATCATATAACAGCTTCACGGTTAACATTGGGACTTCTACATTTGCCGAGAA